GCCGTAACACTGTTTTCCATCTCTACATGTCTTTGTCCAAGTTTATTATAAAGACATTGGTCCTATTGGATCAGTGCCCACTCTAAGAACCTCATTTTATTTTATTTGCCTTTTGAAGACCATATCTCCAAAGACAGTCATATTCTGATTGTGGGGTTTAGGACTTCAGCATATAGATTGAGGGATATATAATTCATTCCATGATGCTGGTAAGACCTGTTATCCCAAACCCACCTCTCTTTAGAGATCTACTTCACCCATTCCCTCTAGGAAATTTTCACTAACCACCCAACACTGTTCCAGTGATTTCATCCCTTCTCAGAAATACCACAGGAATTACCTAGTGCCTGTGTGTGTGTGTGTGTGTACAGGTGTTATAGAAATCGCTGGAGAGCAAGGGGTTCCTTGTTCATTAGGATGCTTCCTCGGGTTTAGTATGAGACCAAGCTCATAATAGGGCTTTATAAATGCTGGGAGTTTAAGTGGCCATCGACACCAAACCTAAGACAGCAAGCAAAGTCGTTCCCTCCCTCTGATGGACTGGAGCCATAAAGGAGGCTTCCCCGTGGAGGGCCAGCAAAGCCCCAGTGAGGTACAGACTAGGAAGGAGTGCAGAGAACCTGGGGTCCAACTTCATTGCTTCACAGGTGAGTGGGGATGAGAGGGCCCAGCCAGATGGTGGGAAGAGCAGGAGCGGGAATGGGACTTCCTGACTTCCAGACCACTCCTCCACCCACTCGGGCACTGTCTCTACCCTTGGGTGTGGGTCTCTGCCTAGAACCTTCTGCCAACCCTTGAGCTGATGACAACACAGACGCATGAGCCAAATACAGCACACTTTCTTCTGTATAGGAATAATTCAGGGCTTCCATTAGAAAGGAGGAATAAGTTCAAGAGATCTATCTGTAGTACCACATGGTGACAGTCATTAACAACCACCCAGGGGGTACTTGAACGCTGCTCTGAGTGACCACTTAACTGATCAATTTCCAAAGGTTGTATAGGTGAAGGAGGAAGGTTCCTGGGACTAGAATGGCACCGAGGAGTCGATGATCGTTTTCTTTTGATGACAGTGACCACCCTGAGCTGCATCATCCATGGCTCCCTATCTTCTGTGGGATCTGTGGAACTGGACCTATTCAAGGAGGCCCCTGGAAGCTGACTTTTACAATAAATCTCCAGTTTTAACAGGGAGACTGCTGTAATATCTATGAAGATATCCGTGATTTCTATTGCTGACAAAGTCCAAGGTGTTGCTGGGATTAACTGGTTTTTGCCGGCACAGATATTTGAAGGAGATGCTAACCTTCCATTTCAGGTTAGGGTAAATCAACTTGCAGTTCTTCCCTTTTCAATTCTTAGATTCTCGGAATTGTAGCTTTGGTCCTCTTGGCAATTAAAGGAACTCAAGTTAAAAATCTGCCCTTAGGGTTGAGGCAAAATGGCTCTTTTTTCCTCAAGCTCCTAATAGTAGCATCCAGTAAAGCCTCAATACTCGAGAGACTTAATAAGCTAAAGCAATCGGAAAGTGAGGTGACCCAGGGTGGTGCGGGTTATGTCTGCTTGCCAGACTGGAGTCGGAAGCTTCAGGCTTCTTGAGGATCCTGAGACAAGGTCTTCCTATCCATGGCAGGACTGTATATATCCGATTTCTTTCATTTTCCAGGCTTTGGAAGGTGGCTGCTTGGAACCTGCAGGCAAGTGCCCAGGTGGGGACAGCCGACCCTTCAGAGAACCCACACTCAGGCACCTCTCCCGGGCCATTCTGAAGGCAGTTAACTGGAGGAAGCACAGTGCGTTTCCCAAGGCAGAACACGGGAAGCACGGAAGAGCGAGGCTACAGCACCACAGCGGGAGGGAGACAAGCTGCACACAGCCACACATGCTACACACAGCCCGGGCCTGCTGGGGTGAAGGGCCAGAGTCACACTGAGCTTGGACCTTGAGGGTAGGAGCACGCTCACTTCGACTTTATTGATTCTGTTCATAGATTTGTTCACATTCACTCTGAATATTTATTTCTGCTGATCCTATGAGCTGTCTATGGATGGAGTTGATGTTTTATGTTTCATGTTTCTATGAACTGGAGTAGCTTTACTACAAAATTAAAAACTAAGGCAACATTGGAGGCCTTTGTAACTTTTTTTTTTTTGGTACTGGGGATCGAACTCAGGACTTTGAGCTTACGAGGCAGGCGGCACCACTAAGCTAAATCCCAGGTCCGGTAACTTTTTTTTTTAAAGAAGGAAGATTTCCATATTAAATTTGAGAATTAATGAGTTAAACATATCTTTAGGGGCCAGGGAAGTAGTTCATTGGCACAGTGCTCGCTTAGCATGCAGTACAGGCCGGGTTTAGTGGGAAAAGAAATACAAAAATGAAACAAAACAAAAAACGCACCAAACTTTGAGGGGGTCCGATGCCCCCTCTGACCATCAGGGCCCCTTACTTACAAAGAACAAAGTTAGATTTGCAAGCCTGTGGGAACTGTGAGAGAGAGTGTGTGTGTGTGTGTGTGTGTGTGCGTGTGTGTGTGTGTGTGCGTGTGTGTGAGTGTTTGGGGGGGTTCAATTTTGGAGGGAAGACTTTGGGTGTGCTCTCCTGCCCTCTACTGGCCACAGGAAGCAGTGCCTAGGCTCCTCCTGGGCTTTCAGGACTCAGAATGGATGTTTGCCCAGAACCAGTGGGAGGCAGTGCACAGTGACCTTTGTTTGCAGGGACATTGAACAGAGCTCGGCTCCAACTTTTCTGAACCCTCATGACCTAAACTGAGTCAGTTTTACAGGCAAGCTCAGTGAGCCTTGGATGAGGGATCGTGGGAGGGAGACATTATCCAGGAGAGACAGGAGAGTGAGGAGGGGGGTGAGACATGGCCAAGCCAAGGGGAGGCTCCATGTGGTTTCATCCTGGCCAGAGAGACTAATGCCACTTCTCACCTGTCCCAGAAGGGATGAGGGCCCTGCATGCAGATATCTCTATCAGCAACAGAAGTCCTGCGTCTGCTCTGAGATGCTGGTTTATAACAATGACCAAACCACAGAGGAGGAGACGAAAACAGTCCTGAATCCACAGGGGTCCCCTTCCATCCAGCTGGCCCCACTCCCCCCAGCGCCCTGCCCAGCATCTTTCTGGGACCTCAGCACCTCCTGCTGTTCTGCTCCAGCCTAATCCCCTCAGGGACGACTAGGTTCTGGGGCCAGGCCTGGGCTTATGGTTTATTCAACAGTGGCTCTTGGAGAATGCTTAGGTAGCAGGGTATGAGCTCCTAAACTGACACTTCAACACCCACTCAGTGCTGGAGGGGGAGGCGAAGGGGCCGAAGGAGGGCAGCCCAGGCCTCTGAGTAGAGAACCAGGCACTGGCAGCCCCAGGCAGCTCCGGATGTGACTGCAGCTCTGGTGCTTCTGCACATGCCAGGCCGGGCCATGTCTTCTGCTTTCCTCTTTCCTACCTGCTCATCACTGCCTGACACAACAGCAAGTCTCCGCTTTGGCCTTCAGCATTTACCCAGGTCATGGCACCTGCAAGACCCTGGGTGCAGAATAGAGGACTGGAGAGTGGGGACTGAAAGGGTGGCTCTGGGAAGGATGATGCTTTCTTGGGCTGAGGCATAAAGGAGTCCTCCCTGTCCTCTTTCCAGGAGTTGAGTGGCCCAGTCCTCCCCATACTGCTTACTCTATGTTAATTTAGCACACAGCTGAGAAACTCAAAAAAGGTTCCCACATCCTTCTTTCTCCTTCTCCTTCTTCTATTTCCATTTTTTGAGATAGCATCTTGCTATGTAGTTCAGGCCAGCCTTGAACTTACGGCGATTCTCCTGCCTCAACTTCCTGAGTGCTGGGGTTACAGGTGTGCACCATCATACTTGGCACGCAGATGCCCAATTTTGAGTCTATCCATTGGGGCCTACCAGGTGTGTGGGGGGTCCCTGCCAGCAGCTGAAAATCCCCCAGAACCATTGTCACTCTCTTCCCACAGAAATATCCACTCCCTGAGCAGACACCTGCTCCTGGCTGGCCCATGGTGAGCAGCCCAGCTCCACAAGGGAGCCCAGCCCAGAGGGAAGGGCTCCCTCCCCAGAGCAACCATCTGTCACCCCTAGACATCCCCATCTCGAATCTGGCCCCTAGATCACCATATGCTCTAATTGGAGCCTCTCCTGGTGGTTTACCACTGTGGTTAAGCCACTATCCTCTGCCTTACATCCTTCCTCTACCACTCACTGGCTGTGTGGCTTTGGATGAGTGACCTACCCTTTCTGAACTTCATATCCTCATCTCTAAAATGAGGATTCTGATCACACTTGCTCAGACACTTCTCTTGAGTGTCTGAATAATTAGTGTATAGAAAGGGCTTTACAAAGGGCTCTTCCCAGTTCTAGTGCACAAGAGGAAGTCACTGCATCAGCATCATGACTGCAAATTAACAAGGCTCACTAACTGGCTAGCAGAACCACTACCAATGAATCTATGGCACTCGGCCCCCAAACAGCCCTAGCAGGTCCTGTTGCTGCCACATTGGGTGGACCAGGTCAGCTTCCAACCCTGTGCCCAGAGCTGCATCAGCACTGCGGGAACCATAAAAGAACTTTCTTCTCAAGGGAGAGGCAACCTCCCAGGCAAGATAAGACTAATTCCTGGGGCAATTAGTAGAAAACACAAGGTAGCTTAAAAGTACTAAATTGTTCAGTGCAGACTATAATTGTGTTAATAGGAAGAACCATTTGTACGGCATTTGAGAGTTTACCTAGCACTTCGAAATACATTGTGTCAGGTAATCCTCAAAGTAAACCTGCAAAGTAAGTGTTCTGATTAGCAGAAGAGGAAACTGAGGCTCTCAGACAGGAGAGCTGGTTTGTGATCATAGTATCAGAAAGTGGACTCCCCACAGAAGACTTCAAGTTGATCTAGCTTCTGTTGGTGGCAAGATCTGTGTGTGTGTGTGTGTGTGTGTGTGTGTGTGTTGGCATAGGCTGATGCAAGGGCAGACCACAGACTGTGTGGTTTTAGCAGACAGAAATTTATTTCCTTCCAGTGCTGAAGGATGGACGCCTGAGATCCAGGTGCCAGTGGCTAAAGCTTCTCTTTAGATTGCAGGTGGCGCCTTCCCATGCTGTTTTCTGGGCCCACGTCTGGGTCCTCGTTTCCTCTTCCTGTAAGGACACCAGTTACATTCTGAGGACTGAGAGCTATAACGGCTGCATATAGATGGCACACACAAACACACAAACACACACACACACACACACCCTGCAGCCCATGATGGCATGTGTGTATGTTTACAGGCGTGCATGCATCTTCAAACTGCTCATTCCTGCCCCCCCCCCCGCCATGCCTTTCCTCCTTTCTTTCTGAGACAGGTGCGAAGTGGCATCGGTCCTTCCCCCTGAGGCTAGTATGCCCTATGGTCCATGCTTTCTGTCTGCATGTGCTGTGGCAGTGGCTTCATTCCGGCTCCTCTTGCACACCTGGCCTCTCAGAGGTGGGCAGGTCCCAGGACCAGCAGAGGACACTCAGGGTTTCCCTGCACCCCTAGGCCTGCCTGGAGGTCATCAGAAAGGTCAAAGGGTGAGGAGCCACTGGCCAGGAGAGAAGCAGGGCTGCAGCGCCTCCTGGAGGCCTCTAGGTGAAGCACAGCTATGCTCCCAAATCCACCTAAGAAAGGAGGGTGGGGACCCAGGAGCAGGGCCACCCAGAGAAGGATGGAGGCAGGTGAACAGCAGAGTGGGCCTCACAGAAATGCCTGGCTGTAGAGGAGACACTGCACACCAGACCCAAAGTCTCAAGTCCCAGCCTTTGTGTCACTCACGGTGCCACTCTGGCTGGTTATCTCATCCCTCAGACGCTCAGTTTCCTAATCTGTAAAATGGGGAAAACAGCAGCACCTACTTCATAGGTTGTCATCAAGGTCAAATGAGCTAAGTTTTGTAAAGTACCAACTGGCACACAGTAGGTGCATTATAACTTTCGTGGGCCTCTCGAAAACTATTTGTAGAACTGAGCTGGTAGAAAGATGAATATAATCCAAGCTGGATGGTATTCCTTACTTTCTTTGCATTTAAAAAAATTAAATCATTTTCTAGGGCCTCAAACAACATGGGGACCCCTAAGTAACAGGTCTACTGTTCCTAGTGGGTAGGTGCCCCCAGGGTCTCCACCAGGGTCTGCCTGCTGCTGTGGGTTTCAGAGTGTCTGAGAAACCATCAAGCACTGCAGCCCACATGAAGCCACTGTTGTTCCTTTAGGAACTCTCCTTCCCCTTCCTAGGGATTCCCTCTTGGTATGAGTGTCAGGCTTCCAGTAGCAAGTCAAGTCCTCCAGTAGCTGGTGCCTCCCAGCCCCTCCCGAAGTCCCTGGGCATCATGGAGATGTGGGGCTGGCATGTCCTGACGGCAACACCAGGCAGACTCGTCATGGGTGACCAGCACCTCAGCCTCCAGAGCCAGGGAAGGGCTCCTGAGGTCAGATGCCCACTGGGTCTGGTCACAGCAGCCCTAAGGGTGGGGTAACAGCTTAATGGCAAAAAAATCCTTCTACTCTGTGCCTCTAACCCATTCCAAGAGAGGATCCCAGATCCATGGTGTGAAGCTGACACTGACAGTCACATGCCTGGATTTGTCTAAAACTCCTCTGATGCCCACAGGATCTGAACCTAGTAACATAAATAAGTAGCTCTGCCATGGACTCGATATGTGAAGAACAGGACAACATACCCTGTTCACACATCGGTGCTATCTGTGCTTCCCCACAGCCTGGATCTGTGATCCCCCACCGAACCCCCCTCTGCAGCCCTGGCATGAGGGCTCACGCCCCTGGCCTGTTCTGCTGACTGGCAAGCCTGGGCCAACTCAGAGCAGCAGGTGGATACCGGGCACCTCGGCCTCACACTCTGCAGCCACCAGGGGTGCACACATGGCCTGGCTGTGCTGGGAAGGGGTCCCCATCAGACTGAACAGCATGTTTATCCCAGGGATTCCCAACACTGCAACAGGCTGGAAACCTCTGACAAGCTGAGGTGTTCAACACCAGCCACAGCTCTCACCCAGGCCCTCTCCAGTGATGAGGAGCACTGGCAGGAATAGGGCATACAGCAGCCAGGGACACAGCAAAAGCAGCCGGCCCTGGATCCAGCCTAGCAGCTGCCCCAGAATCTCCTCCACCCACTCTTCACGGCAGGTCATGGGCACACCTCCCCACGATCAGAGGCCAGCTCCAGCAGGGCTACTCTGAGACATTCAAGGATCGATCCCTCCATTGCCTGCTTAGGTCCTCAATTGTGGCCCGAAGCATCCGAGTCCAGTCATCTCCTCTCTTCATCAGAGTGCAGCGTGTCTCCTTGCGCTCCAGAGCTAGGATTTCTTCCGGTATCTTGGGGGTCAGCCCGGCAGCCAGGACTACTTCTGGGAACTTGACTGCAGAGGCTGAGGCCAGGCAACACTGAGGAGCACTATCAGGGAGGGGAGGTGGGGCCAGGGGCCAGGTGAGGGAACAGCGACAGGGCCGGGAAAGATGAAGGCACAGGAGGAAGGAAAAGGGGAAGGTCAGGTGGGCACGGAGGACAGAGAGATGGATGGATGATTGGTACTTTGAACTCACCTCTACCCTGACTCTGCCCAGCTCCCAGCTGGGGGCCCAGCTCAACAATCCCCTCCACCCTGGCTGCCCTGGGCATCTGCCACACTTCCTCTTCTGAGACCACCAGTGCACACAACACACCCATCACACACCCATTAAAGCCATGTGTCCACATCCTGGGGACTTGGGGAGGAGGATGGGCCCTGAAAGCCAAAGGCCCCCGGGACCCAGACCCCACACCCATACCTGGGCTGTCGCCCGTCCATCTGCTGATAATGGTAGCTCACGGCCACAGCTGAGTGAGGGCACAGCAAGTACTGGTTCTCTTCCCAGCAGCGACCCATGGCCTGGGTGATGGCCTCATCCGACACTGACACAGATGTCATGGCCTCTGAAAGCTGAAGGATCCCAGAGCTGGGAGTGGGTGTCAGCACTGAGGGAGTGGGAAAAGGGGATTAAAACCCCACTGTGTATCACACAGCTACACATTAGGAGCTCAAATGAAATATCCACACTGGATGTGGATTCAGCTCAAAGTCACTCTCCCAGTGCTGAGCTGCTTCACTCAACTTGGAGGAAGGACTCATTTGTGTTTTAGGGTCAAAACCTTTAGCTAGGAGGTGGCTCATGAATCAGTAAAGTAATTGGATTCTTGTTCCACAACCTGACATGGCATAGGTCAAAGGCATTCAGATGTTTCTAGTGCTTTGTTGTTGCTGTTCCAGCTTCCTGGGCGAGAGCTCTGAAACTCCAGTTCCCACCTAGTCTGAGCATCGACTGGAGGAACCCTCCTGCCTCTGCAGACAGAGGGAGACTCCTGCCTCAGCACTACCCCCACTCCTGTGTCACTGACCATTCTCTGACAATGTCCTGCGTGCTTGCAGCTTACCAAACACCCTGCACGGACTCGGCAGCAACAGAGACCAGCGTGTTAAAATAATTTATATAGCGACCTAACCTTCCCTGTTAGGGTTCACAGAAGGCATTGAATGTGATTCTTTCTTTCTTCCCCCACCACACCATTTTTTTCTCTTGTTTTTGTGGTCCTGGGGATCCAACCAACCCAGGGCCTCATGAATGCCAGGCAAGGACTCTGCCATTGAGCTGCTACATTCCCAGCCCAAAAGATGTATTTTACCTTTGCATCTCCAGCACCTAGCACAGTTCCTGGATATCGAATATGAATAAGTAAGTGAATGCTCCTCTGGCGAGTGGAGTGTCTCCCGGGTGCAGAGCCAGGGAGGGAATGCAGAATGGGGACAAGGTGTCTGTCTCCATGGAGCATCTCAGTTATAGGAGAAAGAAGGTGGATGTCAAATCCAACCATTAACCCAAAAAACAAATGTTTGACTTCATCCAGACAAGCACAGATTCCAGAAGACAGAAATTCCACTCCAGTCTGTGTGGGTTTCGCTCAGCCTGGAGAACCACCTCGGTTTTGAGAACAGCTCATTAAGAAGGTTGTTGACCATGGAGGATTATGTTAAGGAAAGGTCAGCTGAAGGAACTGGGAAGACCAACAGGCAGACATAGGCAAGAGGTAAAACTAGATTGCATAAGCCTGAAGGAGCAGGGTGCAGCTCTACAGAGAAACGTGCTACGATTAGACCTGAGGTAAGGGAGTGAGGTCCTGTTCACTGCGGGTACAGAGTCCACTTGGCCACTTAGTGGGAATGTGGAAAATTAAAGGCAGCTTCAACAATCCTGTATCTGATACATAAAATAAGGAACATCACCAGGCTGCATTAAAATAAATGCAATCCTTTCCAATTTCTAAATAAAATGTCTGAGAGAGAGAGTTGGGGGGGATATTCAATAGGAACAATGGTCTCTGCTCATACTGCAAGGAAAACATGGCTTTATCCTTGTTTGCCAGTTGTTGCTATTATTAGAAATTAACAACTATAATAAATAAAAACAATAACATTTGATTAATGTTTTTTTTTTTTTTCCGGGGATTGAACTCAGGACCTTGCACTTGCGATGCAGGCATGGTGCCACTGAGCTAAATCCCCAGCCCAACAATCAACATTTGAAGCCTTATATTACCAGGCAGTTTGTGAAGCGCCTCACATATATTATTTGACTTGAATTTCACAACAACTTTATAAGGTAGACATTCTTATTATTCCCATTTTATTTATTTATTGGTGTGGTTTTTTTTTTTTTTTTTTTGAGACAGGGTCTCGCTATGTAGCCCAGGCTGGTCTCAAACTCATGGTGATCCTCCTGCATCAGCCTCCCGAGTGCTGGGATTACAGGTGTGTGCCACCAAGCCTGGCTTTTATCCTCATCTTAAAGATGAGGAAATTGAGGCACAGACTTTCAGAAGCTGGCCCAGCACTTCACAGCTGGTTTGGGGTTCAGCCCACCTGAATCTAAAGCACATTCTGCTGGTCCTCCTCTAATACCGTGACCTACCATAAAGCGACCACAAACACGCCTGGCTCACACTAGATGCTCAAAAAACAGGTGTCCCCTTCCTCTGCCCACACCCCAAGACTGTAGTGTGGCCATACCCCTACCCTTCCCCTGGGGTGTCGGTAGGGACTGACCTTGCTGTGCAGGTCCTTGGGTAGATGCAGGCTTTGGGTCCTTTCAAACTGCTCCATGAGGGCCCTTGTCACCTGGCTGTTGGAGCCAGAGAACAGCCAGAAGATCCTCTCCATGTTGTAGGGCACCTGGCGGAAAGGCGGAGTCCCAAGCACTCTGATTTCAGTCCTTGTCCAGCTCTGCCTGACCAACACCTGGGCCACCCTACTCACCTCCCCACAGCCCCACCTGAATGTCCATGGCTGATGCCAAGCTTGGTCTGACAGCCGCAGACAGAGAGAAGTCCCCCCGCTGGATGGCCCTGTGGATGATGTCATTGTGGTTCACTGCCGCCACCAGGCGGACTGGCAGTCCCATCTTCTGAGCCAGGCACCCAGCTTGAGCCAAGACAGGAAAAGAACAGTGTGTTTAGAAACAAAACCGAAACCAATTTTTCTTTTAAAAAGTGGGCTTTATCAAAATTAAGAAACTTTCATGCTATTTGAGCTTTCTGTGGTTCATAGGACACTGTCTGTTTTGATTTAAGTATGACAACTTATGTATCGAGGGCTTGATTCCCATTGCAGCAGTATTCAGAGGTGGAGTGGATCCCAAGGGCACTGACTTCATTAATGGGTTGATCCTGTCCCCATGTCTTTGAAGGACATAGGTGTTCCTAGTCCCTTTCTCTTCCCTACTCTCATTTTCTGGCTGCCACAAGGGGAGCAGGACTGTACCATGATGCTTCTGACTTGCCACAGCCTAAGGCAATACAGCTGGCAGACCATGGACTGGAACCTCTGAAACCATGAGCCGAAATAAACCTTCCCTCTTTGAAGTTATTTATCTCAGGTATTTGTCATAGTAATAGAAAGCTGACTAACACACTGTCAAAAAGATGGAACAATAACTCATAGAATGGGAAAAATATTTTCCAGTCATGTATCTGACTGGGACTTGTACCCACAATATATAAAGAACTATTTCAGCTAAAAAATAAAAACACCAATAACTGAATTTAAAAATAGGCAAAAGGGGTCTGGGGATTTAGCTCAGTGGTTCTACCACCTGCCTTGCAAGTGCAAGGTCCAGAGTTTGATCCCTGATACCAAAAAAAAGGAAAAAAAAAAGGCAAAAGGTCTGAATAGACACTTCTACAATGAAGACACATAAATGATCAATGAATAGACATTCAACATCATTAATCATCAGGGAAATACAAACCAAAAACACATTGAGATGCCACTTTACAATCACTAGGATGGGTATATTTAAAAAGGCAGATGATATGAAGTGTTGCTGAGGATGTGGAGAAATTGAAAAATTTCCACATTCCTGGTGGGGATGTGAAATGATGCATCTACTCTGAAAAACAGAGGAAAAGTCCCTAAAATGTTTAACATAGAGTTACCAAATGACCAAGAAATTGCACTTCTAGTTAAATGCCTGAAAGAAATGAGACTACAGGCCTGTATAAAAACTTATGCACAAATGTTCATTCAGCATTACTCAAAATAGCCAAAATGTTTTAAAAAACTAAATGTACATCCATTAATAAATTGGTGAACTAAATGTGATACCTCCATGCAACAGAATAAATACTGACATGTGCTACAACATGGGTAAACCTGGAAAACATTATGCCACATGTAAGAAGCCAAACACAAAAGGTCACATAATTCATGAGTCCACGTCCAGAACAGGAAAGTCTAGAGAGACAAAACAAATGAGTGGTGCCTCGGGCTGGGAAGGGAAGGGAAGTTCTGGGGAAAATGGGAAGTGCTTGTGAATGGGTATAAGGCTGTAGTTTTTTGTTTATTTATTTGCTTTTTGGTGGTGCTTGGGATTGAACCCAGGGCTTTACACATGCCAGGCAAGCACTCTACCACCAAGCCACATTCCTGAGCCCAGGTTTCCTTTTCAGATGAGTTAAGTGATCTAAAATTGATTACAGAGATGGCTACACAAATCTGTGAATACACTAAAAACCTTTCAACTGTACACACTTCAAGTGGTGGATGATTTGTGAACCATACAGTAATAAAACTGGAACACAACAGAGAGAGGAGAGCATCGCCATGCTCTTTTCTATCTGAGGCTATTCTGTCTGCCAGCCACTTACCGGGTACCAATACACAGGCTCAACACTGTGCGGCAAACCCGGGAACAGGAAATGAAGGTTGCAGTGGCCTGTCCAAGCCCTACTAAGTGGCAGAATCCAGATTCAAAACTGTGTCTGAGTCCAGAGCATGCACTCTGGCCTGGACCCAGCCTGCTGCAGTCAGCAGCCTTGGACAGCACTTCCTGGGGACTCCACAAAGGACAGAGCAGCACCCTCGGCCACTCAACAGCAGGTCTTGTTTGCACAACACTGAGTGACGAAAGCCCAGACCCAGAGTAGTTTAGGAAGGTTTTGCATACTTTCCCGAGTGCCCTTCCTGTGGCGAGCAGCTCAGGGAGTTTGGGGTAGCCGCCCCAACCCAACATCACTGGGGTTGGCAACACACATTCACATTCTTGTTGCACTTGATGCTTAGGAAATGTCACGAGGTCCTGGATGACAGAGAAGAGATGGAAATTCAGGAGGATAAGGGGGCTTAAAGTTGAAGGTTCCCGATAGAGCAAGGGCAGATGGGAGCACCCTTGGCAAATGCCCACAGGCTGTGCAGCCGAGGGGACATCATGGACTGGGGTGATGTGGACAGGAGGCCTGGTGGGCTTCACCCCTGGGTGGCACAGAAGGGGATCCTTCTTACCTAACTGCTGGCCCCTGTTCTTTCCATCCGTTAGAGGAAGAGGTTCCAACTGCTAAGATGCCTCCACCCTCGGAGCCCTCAGAAGCAATGGCCCCGAAAGAGCTACCAGAAGGCAGCACCACCAGCTACAAGAGCTGGCAAGGAGCCCGGCTCTGGCTGGTCCTGTGTGTCATCCTGGCTCTGCTACTGACCAGCCCTGTTATCCAGGGGCAAGCTGGGCTCTCTTTGCCTGTTTCCTCATTATAAAAGGGAAATAACACCTGCAACTCCAGCACTCTGAAAGGCTGTGGCAGGAGGCTCTCAAGTTCGACCCCAGCATGGGTAACTTAGTGAAAGAGCAAGCCTCTGTCTCAAAAAACAAAAAATGGGTTGAAAAAATACAGCTCCACATGAAGACCCTGGGTTCAATACCCAGCTCTGGAAATAAACAAATAACAATGGATATAAAATTACAGTCAGCCCTTGGTATTTGTAAGTTTCACATCTGCAGATTCAACCAACCAGGGATTGAAAAAAAATGTTTGTAATTGTCTGCACTGAACCTGTTCACGCTTTTTTCTTGTTATTATTTCCTAAATTATACAACTATTCAGATAGGAGTCACATATTGTGTTAGGTATTAGAGGTGATCTAGAGGTGAAGCATGGGTGTCCAACCTTTTGGCTCTTCACAGAGTGAAGAGGAATTGTCTTAATAACAATAAGCACCTGTACACACACACACACACACACACACACACACACACACACACATCCCCATGGGAAGGCTGAAGGGCTGTCTGGCAATCACTGCATGTGGGTTGTGGGTTGAACGAGAATGATTTAAACACACAGGGGGACATGTGTGGGCCACAGGCAAATGTTATGTCATCTTCTATAGGGGACTCGAGCATTTGTGGATTTTGGTGTTCACGTAGCCTCAGGTACATGGTGGAACAACTGCATTGTCCTTCTCTTAGGCCCATGTGAGGATTAAATAAGTTAAAACATGGGAAACATTTGGCACAGTGCCTGATGCACAGTAAGTGCTTGAAAAAGTTGATTGTTCCTGAGAAAATGATTTTAGCGCCATGCAGCTGTGCCACTCTTTGCTCTTACAGAGGTCGTATGCACAGGAGAATCTCACTTGCTCCTCCCAGCAGCGGTCCTCGGAAATATGATAAGTGACCAATCTCTTTACAGTGGTGCCAAAGGACCACCCCACAGCCACTCAGCTAGGAAAGAACAGAACTGGGGCCAGAGGCCTAAGTCCAGGACCCACTGCGCCTCGAGTGCTGCCTGGGGAGTGTGCCCACAGTGGGAACACACGTGCTACCAAGCCACTTGCCCCTGCAGCAGGTGGCTGGCCAAGCTGGGAGTAAAATCTGTGTTCTGGGAGAGGGCACTGCCAGCTGGGCTCCAGAACTGACCCCTGACCTCCTCTCCCCACATGTGCAAGGAGCACAGCAGGACAGGCTGCTGGGGTACCTGGGGCTGAGCAGGAAGAGCCCTAGACGTCCCTCCAGGTAGCCAGGGAGGAAATCTTCTGGGTTGCTCTTCTGTGCAGTTTCCTGTCACCTTCAGAAGGAGGCTCGACCTTCTTTCTCTTCACAGCTGCAGTCAAAGGGCAGCTGGAAAGGCTGGGGTTGCAGGTAGATTTCCAGAAAGCCCATTCGCATCCAGGATCCCCTTACCTGCAAGGTTGCCGCCAGCTCCTGTTGGGACAACCATTTCCACGAAGGGCAGGGGGTGCATGTCCAAGGATGGCGAGCACTGGAAGTAAGCGAAGAAGTGGTGGGCTATTTGCACGAGGACTCGACACCAGTTGATTGAATTCAGGCTCATTAGGTTGTGCTTCTTGACAAAAGCCACATCCGTGAACATGGCCTTGATGGGCTCATCCAGCTCGTCACTGTTTCCCTCCACTGTTGGGAAAGAGGAGAGTGCAACTCTCAGGAGCAGAACAGGCCCCTGAGTGCTTAGCACTGGCCTGAGTCAGGATCCTCCCAAGCTGTGCTGTATCCCCAGGACCTGCACTCAGCTTCTTGCGGCTGGGCCTAGCTCTCCAGACTCACTATGAAGCTCATCGGGATAGAAACCAGGCCTCCTCTACTTGTGGACCTGAATATCTGTCCTTGTTGCAGAGAACAGAAAATGTAGCTGGAGCCATTTCCAGTGTTTCTACCTTTATGTAAAATAAGATACAAAAGGTCAACGTTCTGGGATATTGGGGAAAGAATTCCCCTTTGTAAGCCATATCCACCTTCCTGACTCTTCTGCAAAGAAGGAGGCACTGTTTACCTGAGCATGAGTGGGAGAGAGGTTCCTGTACTCTACAGCCCCATCAGGACTGAAGTGATGTGGTCACTATGCCCTGTGGCCTGCCTTCATCCACAATCCAAGGGTGACTGCTTCACTCTCTGCTCTTATGTGCTAGGTAAGCTTGCTTGGGTAGAAGCTCTCTTTCCTGGGCACATCAGCTTAATTTATGGGTGAATTATTGGCTAAATTTCTAAGTGAATTTCCCAAGAGTACAACACGTATTCCTCATCTAGTAATCACATCAATATTGATCTCATCTGATTCCTAGGTCCATTTCTCCATCCTTGGAAGGAAAGGGATTGAAATTTGTTGGGGGTATCAGAGCATGAATTAAGGTTGTTAACTGTTCTTCCCTAGTCATTATGTAGAAGCACTGAAGCTGGGGGTTTGCCTCCAGAGCCACATGTGAACCCCAAATGGCCTGAGCCAGTTGTGGTGGTCATTCCCATGGGGTCATGGGTTGGCTCCAAGATGGGCATATGATGAATTCAGGCCAACGAGACACAAGGGGATGTTGGCTGGAGATCTAAAAGACAACTCACTGCTTTTAAGAAAGAGCCACAGGAAAAGAGAGCTGTTACCTCACATGGTCACCATCACATGACAAGAGAATGAGCCTTAGGATTAGAGAAGGCAGAGAGAGGATGGGAAGGACTGGGTGTCTGAAGGTACTGTTGAATCACTGAATCGCCCAAGTGAGAATCACCCTGCCTCTGGATGTCCAGTTACAGAAGATGGAAATTGTTCCTGTTTAATTTGGTCTGAGTTAGATTTTCCATTACTTCCGGCCAAAAGCATACTAAATAACATAACCACTAGCCATCTAGTGCTTATGATTATCCTGTGTTTAACAAGCACACAATGTACAAGGCAGTTAATGACTTTACAAACCCAGGGTCCATACAGAATAATCCGGGGGGTCCATTACTATTTCATGAGCTCACCAGTCTAAGGGAAAATGCAAACTCACTGTTAATTCCTGAACTAGAATAATACTTACTGTAGCCAAACCAGAAGGCTCCAGAAAGAAAAGAAAGAATGTTTAGTATATGTACTGCTGAAGTGAGCACAGGAAAGAAAGAATTTGAACAATGCTGTTTATGAACAAAATTCTTTTCTTTAGTCTGATGCCTTCTTTTGTTGAAGCTCAGAACATATAAAAGAGAAATATATCTTCAGCTCTAGCAATCTTACACACAACTCACCACCATCCACATATCTGCCACTATTTAAAAAATGAGCACTGTTCTCCCACTCACTTCATTCATGCTGTCAGGTAAAAACCATCCAATATCCATGTACAAGGCAAGAAAGGAGTTAGTGGCCAGATAGAAGTACATAAAGCTATTCTCTGCTTTGATGCTAGGAAGAGATAGTCCTAGATCCATAACTATCAGTTTTGGTACCTGAATCTTGTGCAGTAAAGTCTTGCAATGACTGTAATAAAACACACCAAATATGGGCAGTTACCAAGGCTAATGCATAAGATTCTGCAGCATAGCATTAGCTAAACCATGGACTTTACACTGGAATGTGTGTGCACTTGCTAAAGACAAGAGCGGAGGAGGATTTTTGATTGCTCTTAAAAACCCAGACATAAGATACTCATGGAACTCCCAGGAGTAAGGTTTGTTTCCATGGTGCTTTTGCTCCTTGAAAAAGTTGGTGTTCCATGAAAACATCCTTTATGGGATTACACCAGGAGGCCAGGCCAATTGCAGAAGAAATATTTTCTGCCATCACATTTGCTGACCTGCCAGGTGAATAAGAAATCCAAGAGAGGCCATGTGGAGAGGCCCACTGTGCAGAACCTTAGCTAAGCCCCCACATTTCATATTCCTGCCCCCATGCTGGGGCTCCCTGAGGTCTAGTGGGGTTTGAGAGGTGAAAAGCTCCACCCACACTCACCCCATCCTTCTCTATTCTCAGTCTCCATATTGACTAGATCCATTCAGTATAGATGAAAAGAGATGGTTTTCTCCTTTCTCCAAGCAAAAAAAGCATCAGTTCTGGTGATTTGGATGAGAATTTCATTATATGACTAGTTATCCATCAGTAGTGATGGGTACACTGAGCTACTTCCTATTTTTAAATACTTAGACCTGCTAACCACATGCATGGATTAGTAATTTCTAGACTGTAAGGGAGAGAGAGAACTGCCAAGACTTACTGACATGATCTCTTAATTATTTACTGAATGTGTGCTCTTTAAACTTAAGTGCCTGGAACAAAACCCTAGTTGCTTGGCTCAGTTTACAGCTCTGTATGGCTCCATGGTTCATACATGACAGGGGCAAGTGGAACCTATATGAGGTGGTTTCAAACCTGCACTTCCTATGTTGCACTGTTACTACTGGCTTATATGTCTGTCACCTCTGACAGTTTAGGGGACTGAATAGCCAGGAGTCCACTCAGAGCTAAGCCAAGCCATATATTCCATCCTCGAAATATGGCTGATGAAGGAAGGGAGGAAGAAAGAAGAGAAGGAAGGATGGCCAGCTAGCCAACTGGTTGTTTTGTCCCAAAGCAGACCCCATGGAGGCAGCACCACGCTGTCCCTGGAGCTCTGCTTCAGTGCCCACCTCCAAACACGTGGACATTCTCCTTCAGCACCGTTGTCATCTGCAGCTCCTGAATCTTTGTGCAGTGACCTTTGGGCAGCAGAACGATGATGTCCACATTTTTTGCCCCCTGAACACTCTCAATGGCAGCACTTCCTGTATCCCCGGAAGTTCCTGGATAGAAAGAAAGGAGAACCCTCTGCTTTAGAACAAGGAGAGAAAAAAGGAGAGAAAGGAAAGAAATGGCCTTTGAAGCATTGTTCCCAAATGAAGCAACAACATGGGGGATAAGGAACTTAGTACTTAGCCTGGGCACATCGATCCATGGGTAAAATTCAGGACACTGTTGAACTTGGTAATCTTAAGTAGTCTGAGTATATAGAAATATTATTCTGAGAAGGATTTATAGCTGTTTTTCAAGCTCACAAAGAAGAGGTTGAGAACCCTGCTCTAGAGATCCCTGACTTACATCTTACAGGTGGGACTCTAAAGTTAGGGCACTAAGAGGCTCTGTGCTTGCGCCCACAATACGCACCTACGACTATAGTGACATGCTTCCCCTTTTTCTCCAGGAAGTACTGCAGGAACTGAGCGGCGCAGGACAGGGACAAGTCCTTAAAGGCATATGTGACCCCGTACCACAGCTCCAACACATTCAGCTCATTCTTCAGCTTACGCAGATGGACCACATCTCCGGATCGAAATCTGCTGAAGGCTCGGTCAATCAGATCTGTGAGGGCAGGAGGGTTGGCTGGCAGATGAACACTCCAAATTTAACATTTTTATCTCCTGCTACCACACAAAAGACCAGGAAATTTTATCTTAAATGATACCATTTTATGAATATGATTGGATAAGCCTAGAAAAAAAAGTCTGAAACTAACACTAAACTAACACTAAACACTAAACTAATTATAGATCACTCCTAGGGATTCCCCCAGACCAGAACTGATATGAAAAAACTCACTTTTCAATTTATACACTTTTTCATAGTCTTAGTTTCTCATAAGCATGTATTCCAATAGAGGGGCAACCAAATAGTTACATAACAGAAAAATCGATGTCTTATCTTCCTAATTTTCCTTTTTTTCTCTTTGTGGTACTGGGGATCAAACACAGGACCTTGTGTTTGCGAGGCAGGCAGTGGAACCACTGAGCTAAATCCCCAGCCCCCTAATTTTCCTTCTTAAACACAGAAAGATTTTGCTTATTGGTTCTTTTCCATTACTATATCTCATATCTATGGCACCAGAACCAGAGTACATAAGCAATTTTACCTACAGCAGTGCAGTCTAGAACATGGCTTCTCAATTCTTACTGGCAGACCAAGGACATAGGGTTTTTGTTAAAATGCAGGGTCTGGACTAGTAGGCCTAAAAGAGCCTGAGATGTCTAACAAGTGTCCAAACACTGTCATCATTGCTATTAGAACACATTTTGAGTGGTACCTTACCCTCTCCAACCCCAAATGCCAACCATTACATCATGGGCTTTCTTCGTGCTACTTCAAGTGTGGGCCACAGATCAGCAGCACTAGTCCTATCTGGACACTTGACAGGCATTCAGGATTCTCAAGGCCACCCTAGACTTGCTGAATCAGAATCTGCTTTTAACTGAGATCCCAGGGGAATCCATAGGCCTACTGCAGTATGAGACAAGCTGGTCCAGGACTCTGTTCAAGTCCCTTTGAAATTACCATCAAAGAAGGTAAAATAGAGACCTGGGGTCCTGGTACTTTACATGCACAAAGGAAACACCTCATTCAAGCCACTCAGGATGATTGTAAAATCCCTAATCTCAGAGTGGATTTAAAATAATAAACTAAAAGAAACAAATTCTCTGCAGATCACTTCATCTTCCTGAAAGTGGAATAGATGAAAAATCTCAGATTTCTAATTCTGAGATTCTATTTTTAAAAATTTATTTATTTATTTAGAGACATTATATAATCCAGGCTGGCCTTGAACTCAAGGCAGTCCTCCTACCTCAGCCTCTCAAGTGCTGGAATTATAGGCGTGAGCCACCACACCTGGTTCTGAGATTATAGAGTAAGGAGGAAAAAGTCAGTTTATGAAGTGTGACTGGAGACTTTCGCTGTTGGATGATGGATTTACGCCTGGTGTGGAGCTGGCAACAGGGCACTCACCATTCAAGTCCTCCCTCGGAATGAGCTCAGGCCTGATGAAGAGGCTACAGAGCTCCTTCACCAGGCTGGGGTAAGACAGCGAGCTCCAGTGCCGCAGGGTCTCTCTGTCCAGCTGGGGCAGCTCCTCTGGCATGTAGAGGCCCCCATCCGGTGCATAGCCAGAGCACAGGGCCCCCTCAAAGTCGACCCGGGGGGCCGTCCCCCGGGTGCTGATGTACCACATGATCCTGGAGACCTGCAGAGAACAGTCCAGAAGCACCAGGTCTTCAAGCTCCCGGGACCCCAGAGAGCGAGGCAGAAGCACTCACAGCCCTTCCTCCAGCCTCTGGGCCACACCAGGTATGTGGGTAGCCTCATGCCAGTTTCATCTGGTCCTGTGCAAGTCACCGCCGCTCCAGCCGGAAGGAGGCAATGCTACTGCCCACTCCCTTGGAGAAGTGGTACTGGAGCATGCTGGGAAAGGGGAAGCCCAGTCCTCACCAGTGAGAAGAAGGCCTTGGAATGGGGAAAGAAATAGCAATAGTGGGCAACTGTATTCTGATAGCCTTTGAAAAGGAGACCGACATACCTGGCCAAGCACCCCTCTGAGAGATGAACGGCTCTACCTCTGCTCAAAACAACCCACCTTCAGAGGTTATTTAGGGATATCAAATATAATTTAATAGATCTCAACTCTGGCAGCTTGCTGGAATCAATTTGGGAGCTTTAAAACAATTCACATGCCACATGTGGTGGTTGCATACCTGTAATCTCAGCACTCTGGGAAGCTGAGGCAAGAGGAAGGAAAGTTCAAGCCCAGCCTGGGCCACTTAGGAAGACCTTGTCTCAAAAAATAAAAAATAAAAAATAGGCTGGGGATGTAGCTCAATGTAAAACCCCTGGGTTCAATTTCCAGGTCCAAAAAATAAAATAAAATAAATAAATAAGGTGATTCACATTTCTGGGATCCTGCCTGGATCAATTAAGTTATACTGTCTTTTATTAATAAGAGTCCTGGAATGAGCCTTATGTGACAGTTCATCCCAGTTTGCCTGGGACCTTCCTGGTTTTCAAACTGAAAGTCCCACTGGGTATGGTGGTGCACATCTATAGTCCTAACACTCGGGAGGCTGAGGCAAGAAGATCACTGTGAGTTCAAGGACAGCCTGGGGTACTAATGAAACCCTACCTCAAAAACCAAAACAAGGGACCGGGGCTTTAGCTCAGTGGTTCTGCCGTCTGCCTTCAAAACACAAGGACCCGAGTTCCATCCCCGGTACCAAAACAAACAAACAAACAAACAATAACAACAAAACAAAACAAAAACAAAAACAAAACCCCTGAAAGTCCCATGTCCCAGGAAACTGTCAATCCTAGACAAAATAGGATAGGTAGCTATCCTATTTGATAACCAGTACCCTACCTCTGAGCCTACTCTTAGAGATCTAGTCAGTAGTGCTGACCTGATGTCCTTAGAGCTCTCCAGCCATGGCTAATCAGTCCTGCCTAACTGTCATAGACTCAGAGCTCCCTGTTTTGTTTTGTTTTATTTTGTTTTGGGGGGGTGGGAGGATGACAGGGATCACAGAAGGAAACTTAAGAGTCTCTGATGTTAAAGGTCCCCCGGAACTCTGGGGATGAATTGAGTAGACATAATTCTCAGGACCACAGAGATTTTTCTGTGCCAGGCCTGGAGGGGATGGAAGCCTGGGCCCCGGGAACAAAGCTCTCTGCTTCTAAGAAGGGGATGGGCTGCCATTGACCTTCTGGTCAATTCCTATTCTGTGCCTCTCGTGTCTTTGTGCACAGTGAGACCTACATGGGCTGTTGTGGGCCCCTCCCCTGCCTACAACCACAAGGGCATCTAATTTAGTCAGAGGTGAGCTCTGTCATCCAAACCATGAGTCTTTTGAAAAGTGAAAGGGAGTCGGTACTGTGATGCTAGAACAGTGGGTATAAACCAGGGGTCTCTCTGGCAAACTGGGGCTTATGGTGAGCCCCTGTAGGAGTTCATGCTAGAGAAACAAAAGCAAGGTAATTCTAAAAGCCAACCGCAGCCGGTGAGCAATGCAGACGCAGTGTCTCATAGGACAGAAGCAGCGTCAGGAGCCAAGGCTGGCGGTGCCCCAGTAGAAAGAACACTGGCTAATTCTGTGGCCAGGATCAGCACCAGTGCAAACAGCCAGAGACGCTGGGGTGGCAAGAAGGAAACCTTGGGGTTCATGCTATAGGACCAGACTAAAGAGAATGCTGCAACCAGGGGCCAGAGAAACTGCTGACAGGAGAGGGGCTGGGGCAGGTAGGTTATAAGCAAACCAAAAGAAAATATTTTCGGAATCTGGGTGAAATGGACCTCATGGACTCAGAACACTGGGGTCTGTTCTGGGTTCCCCACTTTAAAGAGGCTGAGAACACACTGTGGCAGAGGCGAGAGTCTGCTTGGGCGGGGCACCCATGGGTGTTAGGGGTGGCCCGACTAGCACAGGCGCATGTTCCAAGGGTCAAGGCCTGGGCCTGCTGTGTTCAAGCACAAGGGGCAGCGTCTCCACGCCACGTGGGCAAAGTACAGACGACACACAAACCCTGGGCTCAGTGCAGTAGAGAAGCCTGGAAATAGAATCAGCTGCCCCCCAGGGGGGGCACAAACATTTTACTGGACTGTTGTATGGGGGCTCTAGGGATCAGATTTTATGGGGGACCTGACTAAGTGACCTCGGTGTATATTACTGGAATAATGTTTCCTAGGGATTCGTCTGGATCTTATTATTCCAGAGTGGAGACAGGGCTGAAATACTCTGCAATAACCAGGATAAATAATAAGAGAAGGAGGAGCCACCCTAAGGGTGAGTTTGGGGTGAGGGCGGCGTTTCAGGAAGGCATGAGGCTGGGCAGGACTTTTCCCTGGTGGCTGATGCCATCTCGTCCCCCGGGTGGAGGTTGAAGCAGGGCAATCTAAACACTCAGGCGGTTCGTAGGGGCCTAAGGCACCGCTCTCAGACTGGAACACAGCGTGTCTTCCAGTTTCGGGGTTCCCCGGAACTCCCGAGCCAGGCAGAAGGCACCAAGCACAGGAACCCTCCCACCACCTGAGGGTACAGCCCAGGGCGCGGAGCCAGCGCTGGGCTGAGCTGCCGGAATGGTGCCCCCAAAGCCCTGGACGCAGGGCGGGGGCTGCGCAGTTACCAGGTGCGGGGCACGGGGCGCTGGCGGCCGGTCCCAGTGCTCGGAGGACGCGGGCCCGGCTTCCGGTAGGGGCCGGAGGCTGTGGATCCGCTGTGCGCAGCCGAAGGAAGGGGCGTGGGGAGCTCGGGGAGACGCAGGAGGGGACAATCCCGGCCCAGCCGCTCCCTACGCTCTGGGCGCGGTGCCAAGCGCTCTGTGCGCCTTCAGGTTCTTGATCTTCGCTGCGAGGCCCTGAGTACCCCAAAGAGCTCATTTTTCAGGCGAGAAAACAGCAGAGGGGAAGAAGAAAGCCCTTTCTTTCTCTGGACTGCATGCTTCTGGCTAGCAAAATCGGGAAGCTGGGCACTCTTCTCAGAGGGGCTGGAATCCACCAAGTGAGTAACATCGGTTTAGCAGGGGGATAAAATCTTTGTAGGAAAACACTTTTTGTTAAGCGTAGATCTATTCTTGCGCTAAAGCTACTTTGCAATTCATTTTTTAGAAATAAAGCAATAATTTGAAGAAGAAGAAGAAAAAAGACCCCCAGATATGCTCAGATGTCACTGGATTCACATCCGTGCTCCTGTGTCCCACTCAAGTGGCAAAGTCTGAGGGGCTCATGCCTGTGAAAGGAAAATGGCACAGTGTATTGCTTTTCATACCTTTAATAATGTAAAACTTCACTTCCTTTTGTGCTTGCCTTGACCAATTCTTTCTTCAGGACAGAAAGAACCTAGAAACCTCCTCTAGAAGGAGATGCCTGCACCGCAAACCGGGTAACAGGACAGCTCTGCAGGCTGGCCCGGTCTGTTCCCGCCTAGGGCCTTTGTCCTTGCTGCCACCCTCCTGTCCAGAGAGCCACAGAGCCCTTGTTTGACAGTCCTTAAGCCAGGGCTTAAAGGGCACCTTCTCCTTGAGGTCCTCCCCAGCCTCCCAGTGGAAAGCTGAGCCCCATCACACTACTTTCTGACCCTTTCTGTTTTGTTTTTCACTTTGGCATTTCTCACCTTCTCAAGTAGTATATGATTTACTTTTTATTACATTTATTGTTCTTCCCTCCTTCCACCCCCTAGACAACACAAGGAGGGCACGTTTTCCACTGTTTTGTTCCAGTCTGGCACTGGGCCTGGTAGGGACATAACTGATACTTGTTAAATGAATTCAGTGGAATCCCCTCATCCCAACTTGCTTCTTCTCCACTTCTCTCTCCAGACTCAAAGGTTACGGGGCACTCAGGTTTTTTGTTCCAAACCCTGCAGCTAATTTTTCACATGCAGGTATTCTCTGAAGCCCCCTTCGAAATGGCTTTGGGTGAACATTTTCCCATGAAAAGTCTTGTTTGTATTTATCTGTGGCTTTCTGGGTAGCTCAGAAGCAAAGGGAGCAAACCTGCTACCCTCAAAGCCTCCTTCTGAGAAAAACGGGTTCTTTCTGCCTACTTTTCCTGTGGATCAAAACTTGTGTTTATTCATTTACTCCTTGGCAGATCCAGGTTTCATGAACAATATACACTTTGGGGAAGTCATATTTAGAGAAAAAATGCAAAACTACAAGTGTAAAACTAGAAACCCAAGTAGTATTTATTTAGAATGTGAAAATAAATCACTACAAAGTACAAATTAAAATAAAAAATCCTGACCAACACCAGATCACAAAATCTAGGAAGATATGACTTTTATTAATTAATGATTCTCTTTCTCCCTCTCTGTGTTTGGGATGGAATCCAGAACCTCTCACAAGCTAGGAAAGCACTCTATCACTGAGCAATAGTCCCAGTACAACATTTAAAAAAATAAACAAACAAACCCATTTCTCATGTTTTTTTTTTTTTTTAAATTGTAAAGCCTTCAGTTATTTCTTCATATGGCAATGATTTTATGTTTGAGAAGGACAGGAAAAGAATTCAGTTTTTTAACACAATAATTGAAGTCAGGTGTGGGGTTTCACACCTGTAATCCCAGCACTTTGGGAGGCTGAGGCAGAAGGATAACAAGTTGAAGCCCAGCCTGGGCAACTTAGAGACTTAGCAAGACCCTGTCTCAAACAAAACAAAACAAACTAAAAATGGGCTGAAGATGTAGCTCAGCGCAAAGGTCCTCTGTTCAATCCCCAGTACTACCAAATAGAATTTAAAAGTTTAAAAGAATAGTTGAAAATAAGTATTATAATTAGCATCCTAGAAAAGCTTTTATTATTATTTTATTTATTTTTTATTAAGGAGTAACTTTTTGTTATTTTATATGCATTCAAAAACTTAAATGTTTTTATGTTAAAAAATGAAAAAAGTTTTAGATCATCCAATTCAGGAAAATCCCTAAAACTTTTTTTCATATGTAAGCAAAATAATTTCAGCGTTTTCTCAAGCAGAGACTAATCTTTGAATTGGCAACACTCATTAACCAGTTGGACATTAAGATCCTTGTACTGAAGGCACGGAGAGCAGAGAGGCCACCTGGACAGGCTTTGTGTGAGCAATGAGGCTATTTATTTCACCCAAGTGCAAATGGGCTGAGTCCGAAAAGAGAGTCAGCTCTCAGCAAAGGGAGATCAAAAGCTTTAAAGTGTAGGTGGTTGCTGGGGCTTGGTCCAGGTAGAAGTTGCTGCCTTGGGAATTCAGGGGGCAGAGAGAGTGTGGTCACACTTTTTGGAACAGGTGATACAGTTGTTACAGAATTTCCTGGAGCCAAGGAGTTGGGAGATGGTGTCTCATCATTGTTCTTCTTAGAGACTTCCTGCTGTGTTTGTCAGGAATGGTTGTTGTCGGCATGATAGTCCTGTTACTGTGGATGATGGGGTCCTGGTCAGGTTCCTAGACTCTTATGCAGGATGAGCAAAGAGCACTGAATTGGATATGGCATGGGACAGTAAGACAAAAGCAGCAAAGTTTATTAAGGCGATAATATGCTCAGAGTGAGCAGGCTTATGCATGTGAAAGGAAAATGACATAGTGTATAAGGTGCAGAAGTTTAAAATGTTGAGCCAGTTCAGAGGCACCTCCCATTGGGGCTTCCAGAGCATGATTGACAACATGATTGACAGTGTGCTGAGTCATGTCAGCTGCGCCTAGCACACATCCTCTTTTCCATAATTCATCCTGGTATAATTAGATGTATGAGACACAGCCCATGTGCATGAACCTTCTTCTCCAGGTGAAGAAAGTTTACTGTGGGTCATGCAGGTAGGTTTGGTGTGCCTGCGTCCTGGTTTGGAATTTAGGAATTTTCCAGGGTAGGTTTGGGGGGTCTTTGTTTTCTGCCTCCCTGTAAGTAAGTAACCCTTAGGACAAGTGTGGGAGGGGGCACTGCCCATGTTCAGGTGAGTGGAGAGAAGTGGTCCGGCAGTGAGTGGAGGGGAGCACCCCAGAGCCCCAGCTGTACTATCGCTATTAGTCCTGGGTCTCGATTAGGTGCTGTGAGATTTTACTTAGGCTCTCTTGCAGTTCCTGTGGTAGCTTTGGTAGAAGGTGAGAGAAGTGGTCAGTCTCCTCCTGCTGTGGTTTTTTTTTTATAATTATCTCTAATAGTGTGAGAAAGAGCATTAGAGTTACTGCCCTCTTTTTGGCAGATGTGGTTAGAGATGGGGACAGGGAGAGACTGGCTGTTGGAGGCCACCCACATTGATATTGGGGGACACATAAGCTAAGATATATGTCCCTATCTAATTAGTGGGCAAGTATAAGTAGGATTATTGGCCACAAAGGAAAAAGATTTTTGATGGGAAAAGGCAAAGTTGTGAGATGTGGTGAGAAAAGGTGTTGTATAGTATAGGTCCCCAGAACTGAAGGGGTTAGCTCATTTTTCCAGATCAAGATAGAATCAGTCAAGGAGGCCCCTGGTTTAGGTTGAATTGATACAGAGTTGTTGGGAGGTGAGATATCAATGAGATCCCATGGGAAGAATTTAGAGGGTTTGGGAGTAATTAGGCCGAGGGAAGAGATTGAGATTGTGAGTGGTCCAGAGCAGAGGAGGAGCTGGGTGGACTTTTTCTTTGTCTTGGGTAAGATGCCATAAGTGACCTGATGAGACTGATAGTCTTGGGGGTTCTTGATAGTGATGCTTTGGTTACATTGAGAGGGGTCTGAAGTACAGGTTTCAGCCTGCCCCGGAGAGAAGGGCAGCAGCTTTTAAGCCTGGGATAGAGGGCAGAGCTTAGATTGGGGAATGAAATAAGGTACAAAAATGAAGAGGTGAGCTGGCTTTAAACCTAAAACCAAATGGCCAATAAGCACACAAAAAGGTTCAAAATCATTAGTCATTAAAGAAGTGCAAATCAAAACCACAATGAGATACCTTAACTCCTCACCCAATAGGATGCCTACACTTAAAGAGACAGTGTAGTCAGGGATGTGGAGAAATTGGAATATCTGTACCTTACTGGTAGAGACATGATGCAGCCACTTTGGAAAACAGTCTGGCAGTTCCTCAAAATGTTACACGTAGAATGGCCATGTGCCCCAGCAACTCCATTCCTAGTACATGTTCAAGAGAACTGAAGCATATGTTCATATAAATATTGTGCGCAATTGTTTACAGCAGCACTGCACATAATAGCTCCAAAAAAGGAACAACCCAAATGCCCATAAACTGATGAATAGGTGAACAAGATGTGACAAATGCATATAATGGCATATGTACTGAGATATGCTACACCACAGATGGACATTGAAAACACTGTGCTAAGTGAAAGAAGCCAGACACAAGAGGCTGCTCATGATGTTCTATATTATAAAATTGCTAGAGCAGGGAAGTCCACAGAGACTGAAACTAGGTTACTGGCTGCAAGGATTGGTATAAAAGAAAAATAAGGAGTGACTGCTACTGAGTCCAGAGTTTCTTGGGGGGAAGTAGAACATGCTAGATTCGGATAGTGTTGATAGTTTCACATGTTTATGTATTTATTAAAACCCATACAATTGTATACTTTAAAAGGGTGGATGGGATTTATGCTATGTAAATTATGTTATAATTTAAAGTTGTAAAAAACACTATAAAAACTGATTGGTTAGGAGTCACTATCCATAGCACTGTCCATAGCAGCTGCCCAAGGAGGAAAGCTTTCAAGGGCTGAAGCTGAGGACTGAGGCCTGGAAAGGAGTGAGGGGATGTCACTGAGTGAGCAGAATAATCAGATACTTATTTTGATGCAGATGCAATCTAATTTGTCAATAAATAAATTTATAAATCATTTCTGAAAAAGAGGCCAACAAAACCTCTTCTAGTGCTGGATACTTCTTATATATGTTAACTATGTTAATTGTTCCAAATAAATCCTTCCTCTATTGTATTTCCTTGGAATAATAATGAATAGTGCAGAATTCGTACAGCTCAGGAGATGCCTTTTAATATTCTGATGCCTAGTTTTACTCATTAACTTTTTAAATTTGTTTTTTTGTTAGTACATGTTTGTAATATGTATTGTTAGAACTTTTTTTTTTTTTTGGTACCGGGGATCGAACTCGGGACCTTGCACTTGTGAGGCAGGTGCTGGAACCACTGAGCTAAATCCCCAGCCCTGTAATGTGTATTGTTTACATTCATCTTAGGGAGTAGGTACATGTCCTTAACATATCTTAATTGTTTTTATTTCCTTTTCCTTTCCCTCCCTCCTCCCTTTCTCCATCTCTAGATCTCCTTCCCACATTTTCATTTCACTTTTTTTTTTAGTTCTTGTTAGCGATGCATAATGGTTA